CCCCTCCCCTGGCGTGCCCTGCATAGATTGCAGTCATATATTATTGTGTGCCGTACCACCGTGAGGCCGCGAAAAGGGTCTATCTTTCCTATTACGCAGCGGACCACGTGAGCAAGGAGGAAGTCCTAGCTTTCGTGTATTTTTAAGTAATAGCTGATGTTCCTGTTTCACTTGTGTTGGGATCATTTCTATGCTGGTGATCTAAGAGCTGCATGCAGAGGCTTTATTAGGCTGAGCGTTCGAATGCAGGGGTGACAGCTATTGAATCGCTTGCGAAGTCATTCGTTGAAATGAACCAGCCCACTTGAGAAAGTTCCCTTGACGACTGTGATCTAACCTCAAAAACGTTCTGGCATGCTGAGAGGCTTGTTTGTGTAAGGCACTCAAAGTAAGCTCACATTTCGACGTTTTGATAAAGGGGAACCGGTTCTTCGGGTTGGGTTATTTTTTAACAGAGAATTAATACGCACTATTTATGCTCTCAAGTGAGTTGTCTACGTCAACCTGTTTCTGCGTCATCAGTGTGGAAAAAAGCGAGATCAATTTTGAAGGCTCAGTGGAAGCTCATCGTATGGGCAGAGTCACCCTTGACAATGTGCTTCACTCTCCCTCCCCTCACATTTCACCGTCTAGGAATGCACGGCGCAGCAACCAGGAGTGCCAGGTTAACCAGGCCATGAATAATCCCCGACTGCACTTTATCCTGGACTGCGGCTTTCTGCTCTCGATCGTAGGGCGACCACCGTGCTCCAGTGCTGATCGTTGGAGCAACTTCAGCAATATAGAGAAATGCCACCGGACTGGCAGAGGCAGCAACCCGAAAATCAGCGGTAGAGCGCGGTTAGCGTCCAAGTCGCGCTACTCAATAGCTCGAATCACGATCTATGAACGCGAATTACTGAAGTCATACATCGTTTTTCTCCATTGTGACGAAATATGAGGCGTCGAAGAACTGTTCAGATATGTCTCTAAAGCTGCCGATAGCTCTTGCACTGCTCCTCCTGGCAGCTACGGCAGTTGTCCCGGAATCAGACAAAGAACAGAGCTTGGTTCGTAAAAAACGCGACCCAATTTTCACTTGTCCATTTACCTCTGTGGCACATTCCCAAATCAATTTGCCTCTTACTATCGTGAGTTTTTCATTTCATTTTTGGAGAGTCAATTGATTGGACGTTATGTGCAAGGGGAAGCTCCGTTCTGTAGTTTTTCGTCGTGGTTACGATGACCTACAATTTTCACCTTCTGCTATATTATAATTGGAATGTTGGAGTTGATGGTCGGTTCCTTTCCCTTGAAAACTGCAACGAATAGCGTAACGTTTAGCTGTTGAAAACTCCACCGTAGGTGGCCTCTCCACAGCGCAAAATGCGTTTCCAAATTCGTTGTTGGGCCAATGGGACCTTTCAGCATGTGGTCCATGCTACGTTGCTATAGCAACAACAACGGTATACTTGACTCGTAGTACCTTTTTATCTACTGATCCGTGATTATCACATCCGTCGACTGGACCAGGCCTTCCAGAGCGTAAACGTGTCAAACACAAGATGCATTGTTTGTTGACTTATTCTTTCAGGTTCAGGCAAGAGGAAGTGGTGCATCGACGCGTCGTGACAGGAAATGATCTTCACGTTTCGCGGCGCGCTACGGTAATCTTTGGCACATGCCCAAAAATAACAATGGCAACCGCTCGACGTGGGGACATTGGGCGTGCCCTTCTCCCCAACGTTTCATCGCTTCGTTGTGATTCTGCCCAGCTCGTGAAACTGGGCAACATAACGACCCTACCATTTCATTCGCTTTGGTTTTATGAGAGCACAGCCGGTCCTAAGCTCCGGAGTATTCAATTGTGGAGCGCAGCGTCAGGATTGTGTCTTTTTGACTTGACAACCGGGTAGAAACGCGGCTTGTCTTTGGGGTTTACTGGCAATCAAGTGATTGCAAACCTTCTTATCACGGTGGCCGGCGCTGCTCAGGGGCTCGGCTGCACGTCGCGACGAGGAGACGTATCATCGTCATCCGGGCAGTTGATTAGGGCGGTCGTCAACGGGCCGCAGCGCGTGCCAGGAACAATTTGCTTTTTCCAGGCTAATTTAGTCATTTTTTTTCCAACTTTTCACTGTTTTGGCTACTTTTCCCAAAGATGCAGCTGCCTTTTATTTCAACAAGGTGAAAAAATGACTAAATTAGCCTGGAAAAAGCAAATAGTTCCTGGCACGCGCTGCGGCCCGTTGACGACCGCCCTAATCAACTGCTCCGGATGACGAGGTTATATTAACAGCCTGCCTAACTTCGTTCTTTTGGACTCTACCCTCCTTATTGGACGAACAAGTCTATTTCATGCAGGAAAGGATTAAGAGCTTATCATGGCTAGAAAAGTTACACCACCAGAAGAAGGTGGAAATTAGAAAATTTGTCAGAGGTGCCTCTTGTCCCATAGTTCTCGGCCTGCCAGAGCACTTCCTGCCCTTGTTGACAGAGCACGCCATCGTCATTATGATCACAACGAGGGGGAGGAGGGCCGTATTCGACCGCAAATGAGTGGGGGGGGGTCGAATTTGGTCTGGAAAAATTTTTTTTGGTAGTTGATTTCTCTTGTTTCACGGACGGCTGTTAAAGGGGGGGGGGGGCGTATTTGGGCCGTTGTTGAGAGAGGGACTTCGTATTGTTTGAGGGGTCGTATTTTTCGGGGTTGAGAAGAGGGGGGTCGTATTTTTCGGGAAATGAACACAACGCGATGGCGTGCTCTGCTTGGGGATCATTTCTGCACAATAGGACCCCAGCAAATTTGTTCCTCTGGTACGACCCCTGGTTCCTCATACCTGTCCCAGTAGCAACCATCTTCCTGGAACTTCTCGCTCCCCCCCCCCTCCCACTCCTCCAGGTTTTTTTCTTTCTGTAGAAAGTATCTCCCAGTTTTTCTCAAAAACGGCCTCTGCGAGGAAGGGGGAAGTACACAGAGCGGCTTGAACATGACCATCTTTCTTCAAGGCAGAGCACGACCCCCCCCCCCCCCTCTCCAGTCTACGAATGCGGCCCCCTTCTCTCTTGCTCGATTTCGACGTACGACGCTGCCCTGTGCGCCCACAGTGCTCTGACAGGAGTCTATTCATCCTTCGCGGCGTGGTTCATCAATTGAGTCCCTTCTCAAATATCGTATGCATTGCGTGGCCAGAAAACGGAGAGCTGTGGAATAGGAAACATTCTTCGATAGTATAACACTGGAGATTCCAGAACAATGAGTCACAGGTAAAAGTTCAGCCGAGTTTTGACGACTCATCCCCATCTATGCATTTCTTAGGCCGTTAACGCCCAGGAAATAGGTAGTGCAATGCCGCTGACTACGGGATATCGAACTATCCGCGCTGTTTTGCTTTTCAGAAATGTAAGAGTAATGAGTAATTCATAAAAGTTGTAATCGATCGGCAGATCTACGAACGTCGCGTTGCGTTGGCAACTCGGGTCCGTCACGTGTTTCTTGCCAGCAGTTACCCATGTAGATTAAGCATTGCAAGCGTCTACAGATGGGCGTCAACAAGCTAGTCATTGCGCCGTGTCACCGCCAAACGTAGATCTCTCAGGATCAAAACCCAACGTGCAGGGAGCTTCACCTCCTCTTATTTCAGACTTATCGTTTCAGGTCCATGCGTCAATGGCCAGTGTCCGGATGGCTACTACTGTAACGCGAACAATGTGTGTTGTGCAAATTAATGATAATTAGGCGACTGTCACTTATTAGTTTACCGTTTCGCTCTTTTCGTTCCTACCTTTGCTTCTCTGAATGTGATTCTTGTCACTGTCATCGAATGCTTTTACATATCAGTTTTAAATTCGCTTTATGGAAATTATTTCTTTCTTATGCGTGAGTATAGCTTTTAATAATAAACACACGAAAGTGGCTGACGACCATCCGGATCCCTTGAAACTACTAGCCTCCTCGTTTTCCATTCGAGAGAAAAACCAACAGCATACAAGTCGTGGATCCTGTCCTTGCCAAATGAGAGGTAAATGGTTCGCAGCTACACTAGCGTGCGCCGCTTTTCAGATGAAAGTGCACGGGAATGGAGTGGCCTACTGGGTGCCGTCCTCCCCGTCTCCCGACTTTCGCTAACTGTACTCTCTGACCCATTCATCTCGTACGTGGCAAAGAACCGTCCCTAGTGGTGAGTGTGCAGCTTGTCGTTGATTTTGCACAGTAGAAGTTGCCTCACAAAAGATCTTGTGCACACTTTTGTGAGGCAGCGTATACCGTGAGTGAGCATTACTTCCCAATCGCTGCATCGCGTGCACTAGCAGAGTTCTCCCTGGATAGTTGACTGGACACTTGATGACAAAAGAGAAAGAAGCTAATTGACACTGAGATGGTCGACGCGCGCTAGCACTGACGCTGAGGAGGTTAAGTTCTGATGCGAATGTGCCAGTCCGCATGCGAGGCCTACTCGGAAGTAACGCTGCACCCCCTTCTCTCCCCTCCTCAGAGTGTCGTATAGGTCGGAAGGCTGCGGAGAATCCATTCCTCACTGCTGTCTTCCGACTTGCATGCGGCTTTCAGTGAATTTCCAGGTCTTTTTTCGTAGTAGTGAACAACTCGAGCTCTACTCCTGACGATATCGTTTGCCTCTGCAAAAATCTTCTGGGAACTCTAAAATGCCTGAAGTCTAAAATGTGCTAGATGGTACGTGAAAACACATTCCCATAGACACCCACATGGGATGTAGCTCAGGATCTCGGAGCCGTGGCATGGGCGGGAAAAGAGGCTTTATAAGCCTACCCGCAAGCGCGGCATCCACACCAGGACCTAGTTAAATCAACGTACATAGCACTGCAGCTACATGTCGAGTCAGCTAATTAGAGACTGCTAGTTTCTGCGTGATGCCGCGTCTCTAGTAACCTACCTACTTGAAGAAAACACACCATACTTGAATTTCACCGAGCTATCAAAATGAGACCATAGCGGAAACTGCTCTCAATACTGTTTCTTGAAACACTACATACAAATTTTATTAAGAAAACTGATTAGGTTTCCAAAAGAGTTTCACAAATTGCGTCCCGTCAAGAGGTCTGATGAGCTGTGTACCTCTTTCATCAACATAATGTGTGAAAGGCACATCCATAAGAACCTGAAGTGGAGAAAATTTGATATCGTTAGTCGAACCAAGCTCAAATTCATGAAGAATAGTTGAAATAGCCTCGTCATAGCGACGCCATATGAGGAAGAATACCCTACGGGTTCTGTTGTCCCTCCCAGTACTACGGCAAAACCAAGGAGCTCGTTTATGCCCTCACATTGAGATTCTCGTGCTAAGCTCCACTCTTAGGCCGAGTACTGAGGAGGGACAACAGAAACTTGAAACATTGGCCGCAGTTTTCCGTCTAAAAAGTGCCAGAACAGAAGTTTTGACTACTTCTTCGAAGCTCCCACTGGAATCGACTTGAAAAATTACAATCTGTTACCAGAAGTACAAGAACATACCTTATGCCCTAGCTTTTGTAGCAATGTTTGATTGGCAAGTGATGTTGCTTGGGTGACAATTCCTTGGATGTTGTTCTCCTGAATATAGCTTCAACGTCGTTATGCTTCTGCACTACAATACTGATGAGCTTAAGATAGGTGGGCCATCATCCTGGCCTCATTATGGCCTTTAATAACTATTACTTAATTACCAAGCGGAGTCACCTGAAGCATCTGCGGTGATTGAGATTTCTCAAGCATTTTTCGCGCAATACCTCGCCGTTGATATTTTTCTGCAACACTGATAATATCCCTGAATGTAGAAATTTTGCAGAGCGATCAAAAAATATTTCGAAAACTAAAAGAACTTACAGTTCGAGTATAGTGTTTATTTCTGGATCAAGTAATTTCCATATGCTACCATGGCAATCGTTACATATCGAAGCTAAATATACCACTGATCGAGATTACTTCCTCTAAAGATAATAGCGACTATTGAATAATGTACTGATGTGGAAGATGAATAAGCTTGCAGCTCATTCTGGCGGCGTGAAGCATATCTTCCAAATTGACTAACCTATCTCGATGTCCGTGAACTTCATCTTTTTGTTAGGCGTGCAAAAAAGAGGGTACAGGGGGGGTGCAAAAAAAAGACGCTTTGGCCGAGTCACATATCAGTCAAAGTTTACGCAGCCCAAACAGAAGACGTGGATAAGAGGTACCAGGGCGGAAGATACCCAAGATGTTCTTCGATAAGCAGGCGCGTCCATCACCTTTCACGTCCATCACTCACAAAGCTTCCAGATCTTAAGCCTGACTGAAGGCTTGGTCACTTCACCTCCAAGCCAGCTTTCGAAACGTTCTTGTATGGAGTTCACATCAACAGCTGCTACTTGGGAACCTGTAACTCTGATGCTGGTTAGACCTCCAAACATCGCTGCAGCATCCGACAACGTTCGCTGCGGTCAGCATATCAGCTTCATCGCAGTCGCCAAAGCACGGGTTTATGGTTTCAGACCGGAAGGTTCTAGAGTGGGAAGACTGATATTTTCTTCGTGGACACCGGATTGAAGGTGAGCGGTGACGGTTACATCGATCAACTCGAGGAGAATATCCTGCCTCCATGTCGTTGCCTGCACATTTTGGAACTGAGTGTCACCACATGGCATCGAAGGGAGTTGGAAACTCTCGCTTACTTGGAATCGAAGGGCGTTGAGAACTTGAAGAAGGCGGAATATCCAAATGTGTCACCTGACCTAAAGCATCTCGATTACCGGTCCGGGAGGAGCTCAACAGGGTGATCTACAGTGATAGAGAACTTAACGACCTCGCTGAATCCAGGCACCGAATCACGGTCGCGCGAAAGGGGTCGTCATGAGCTGATTGACGGTTTATTGCTGCTGCGTTACTCCATTGCGCTAATCACTAAGGCAGTTCGGGGAGGGGGGGGGGAGCGGGAAGTGACGTATAACAAGTCCTCTGTCTGTGCTGGTCTCGCATCAGCACCATGCATGGAAGTTCAAGCGAGATCTGATGTGAGCTGCTTTCAGCGCTAGCTTCATTTTCATATATTTGACTTTTAACTGGAACTTACCAATGGCATTTATTTCCGGACGCTTGGGTTTGCCTCCCAATGGTTCAGGATTAACAGGTTCGTCACGTCGATGTACTGAGTGTAAGGCGACACCAACGATCTTGCCGTTTCCTTAAGCACCATGAATATATCAGTCGAATGAAAAAATAACGAAGGTTTCGTTTCTCTGAGCTCATTTCTGGGATTCCCTTCAATCGGACTGCATTAGAGGGTACTGCAGTCCTTCGTGGGGCAAGATCATGCACCCCATTTCTACTTGGTTACCCTTATCACTCATTGGCGCCCCACAGCACTCAATGAAAACCTTCGGAAGGGCCCAACTAAAAAATCACACAGCCCTGACAACTTTTCCTCCTCTACCACCTCGCTACAAATTTCTGAGCCACTCTTAGCAGATCATATTGGTTGGGAGCCCGTCGTCGGTGTCACTAGATACTCCAATTTTGACAAATTCAGTAGATTCGTTCTGAAAAGAGGAACGGAAGCCTACCCAGGAAACTACTCCCTCATAAGAAAAGCATTAAGAATATTCGCTCGCTTTGTATGTAGTACCAAAAGCGGAGTCACATTCTTACTGAAACCATCCGTGGGAGAGTGAGACGACGAAGAACATGACTTCAAGGCACATTGCAAGTACTGTGAAAGTGCAGTAGTCATACTTTGCTCAGAGTTTTGAGCTTACGAAGCTAGATCGATACTTATACTTTCCTAGTCGCCGAAAACGCAGTGTGTGAATGCACTTTGGGCTCTGATTGCATGGGTGGAGGCAGCAAATCATATCGTCGGCGCTCCACTCCTTCTTGAAGTCGTAGACTGGGTTCAGACCTTGCGATGACGCGCGTCGAGGCCCTGCCATTACAGTGACGCTCCGATGATATGATATAGACGTGACCACAGCTACAGAAGGATGTCCGTGGCGGCCATCCGATGCCTTGGGTGAGGTTTTATGACGCTTTGTAACACTGTATGGTGCTCTCCCATTCTCCTTTACTCTCCCGGAATACCAGCGACCGGCGCTGATCGATACCCGTCTATGGCTGCATTCTCGTTTACAGCACTGGAGTGCTCTGAGGTGGTAGGGCTACGACGTGCGTCATCGCGAAATCTGAACACGGCTCTGGATGGGAGACACCCCAATGGGGGAAGCGCAGTTGCTCTCAGCCTCTGCCCATGCAATAGCAGCGGAATGTGTTTTCATTTGGAAATCAGCTGCTATCCACGAAAATGGGTCTATCTCAGATAGACAGGTTGGCCGCACACCTTTAGCACAACTGAGCGTGTGGCCGCGCAGGAAGGATTTTGGCTGCCGTTACAGGATGCTGAGATGGTGATTTTTTCATGACGTTCCTCCCATTTACCGAGATATGTTGCCCGTTTCCCCTGTATGCCATGAAGACGGTCTGCTCACTTTCACAACTCCTTTCAGAGATTTCAGCTAAAATGACCCTCCAAAGTCCTACCACCTCGGCATATCGCGGAGTACGGAGTCCGTAATGAACTAGCCAATGTAGAGTCGGCGAACGGAGCAAATTCCTCTTCTGTAATACTAGTAGCCTGAAAATAAATAATTTACA